CTGGCAGTGACTCTACCTTTCAAGTTGATGATGGGGCCTGCAGAATACCAAGACATGGCTGCCCAAATCATGATTGCGCTTCCAGCATGCTTTACTGTTGGCACAAACAGTACTGGTCGTAGGCTCGGGATGGTGTTTGCCACACGTACACACACATCCAGTGGTTGGCAACAGTGTGAAGTTTGATTCATTGGACCATATTAAAGTCTTTCATTGATCAAAAGTCCACAATTTATGGGTGTTGCATCACTCTCTCCTCTTCTGAGCATTAATATCGGTCACTAGTGGTTTGGCAATTGCAGCTCATCCGTGAATGTTCTGCTTATGTTCCGCACAGTTTTTGTGGACACGGGCTTTGGAAGACTGAGATTGAGCTCTGCAGTCACTTTTTCAGCAGTTGTTTTCTTATTCCGGGTCACAATTCTGTGCAATGTCCTTTTGTCTCTTTAGGTCAGTTGACCATGTCAACTGTGCTTATCAGACATCATTTTCCTGGTTATGCCGTCATAACCTTTGGTACTGTACCTAGCGACATCGCAAGTAAATTTGCAAGTTCAGTCACAGAAGAAACAGTTAAGTGGCACCAACAATTTACCCTCTTTGAAGCTCTGACATGACTCTGTATTACTACCAGCACACGCAGTGAATGATGAAAGTGAGAAACTTTAGCTAGGTGTCTCCTCACACAGCGGAAACAAAAGAATGTTACATCACTTCCACTTTCAATGGAAAACATGTCACTTTCACACCTGCAAATCTTGTAGTATTTCCATATTTTTGACCAACCCCTGCAGCTGTTGGCATTGATTTCAGCTTTAAAGCTTAACTATGTTTTAGATATTACTCACCCTGCCAATGCTTCCCAACTGACCAGGGTTGGGCGCAAGGGGGCAAGATGACAAAATTTCCTTGATCTTGTGACAGTGCTCAGCCATAACAATTTGTTGATCAACCTGAATGCTGTCACATGGAAAGAGGACAAACACTCCACCAATATTTAGAAGCAAGGGGGTATTTTTGCTGGCCAAGGCAGTGCAAAGAGTAGGGGGGCAGGATAGCATTGGCAAGATGAGCATAGGTGGGTCAGGGGAGCCCTTTTCACAGACACTATTTGCCCTGAATAATGTAGGGGATAGAGGAAGATAAAAATGAGGGTGGCATGTAAGGGAAAAAGGGAACAAAGTGACTTCTCATTTTTGAAAGCTTTGCCTTGTGTAGCTTTCAGTGGCACAGTGCAGATACTTTGACAAATGAAGCCAATGCCTTTATTTGCATTGTGGAAAGGAACAGCAAAAAAAACCCATTGTGTAGCACTGCAAAGCAGAAACGAGAGCTTGGCTACATAATGAGCAAAAATGGCCGAGCCATGCATACACTGTATATAATATCAACATATAAACAGAATCAAGTAATTTAGAAGTGTATCTATGGTCAAAATGTAAAACTATATACATTGTATTTCAATTATTTCTAGCCTATACCTATTAATCTGAACAATCCTAAAGTTTGTATATTTACTTTGTGAAGATCCCCACACATTTTTTCCTTAATTTCTGTGACACATATTCATTATGACCTGTCTGTAGGAATTGCTGTGTCACACATGTCACAGAGCCTGCCCTCGGAACTACAGAGGAGATGAGAGGAAGCGTTTCAGGAGGCGGAGTCAGTACACGAATCACTGCTTGCAGGCAGCAAGGTACCATGGGATATGCAGTCCTTCGAAATTGAAAGTTAACAGCAGAGGAGAAGCTGCAAAGCATGCAGGGAATCCAAGTATTGGAAGAGATGACCAGCAGACAAGTAGCCCTCACAACACGAAAGGAGATTTTTAAGTTAGCTTATACAATTGATTTCTCTGTGCAGCTGCTTGCAACACTTCTGGCTCCCAGGTGAGGAAAATACACCCACATTTTACATTTTAGGACACCATTCACCATTCACCAGTTTTTGGTTTTTGAGGGTCCCCCATAACATAGTTTTAATATCTGTTGATCCTGTCCGTAGATCCATTATTTTTCTACTTCCTCTAATAGAGTAATGCTGTTCCTTCCCATATGCAAGAAAAATATATTTGAAATATATTTTTAAAAAAATATATTTTTTAAATATATTCTTCAGATTCTTTTTAACATATAAAAAAGTCATTTTAACATATATTTTTACATATATTTGTAAATGCATTCCACAAATGCAGATTTGTATTTTTAAAGACATACAGTATATTTAAAATGTATTTTTAAAAATGTTTTTCATATATTTTGTACTAAAAATGCATTTCAACATGCAGTATATATATATATATTGAAATATATTGAATATGGCCAAAATTTTAGTATTTCAATTATATGGCAATATATTTGGGAAGAATATTTTTAAAATATATTTCAAATATATTTTTCTTCCATGTGGTTCTGCAGTGAAATCATGCAACATTGTTGTCTCTCTGTTGACAGGGTAGTCATAGATGCCATAGATGATTCAATTTTCTTTCCTGAAGCCTCAGTTGCAGGAAAGAAACTCACTTGATTTCCCCATGAGCATAGTCAGTGTTGATTGGGGAATTCCTCCCGCAGCACTATTGTGTCCTGTCCCTGCCAGCAGAACGCAACGATTACTGCTAGCAGACGACAGGCTGCTTGTACTGAAGTCGATCAATAGATTGACTTAAGTATAAGCAGCCTGCCCATAGATGGATTGAATCTCAGCTGGTCCCTGCTGAACCAGCCAAGATTCTATTCATCTATGGCCGGCTTTAGACTGACAGATGGACTTTAGGAAGCAAACAAATTAAAACCAACTATTTGTATACAGTTACAGCAAATGATTTTTTTTCTTTTGGAAAATAAGGTGTAAACCATATAAATATAAGCTGACCACTTTAAGCACCCACAACAGCAAAATTACGTTTGCCTCCATCCCTGTATCAGCTACTTTTGCCAAACAGCTTGATCCGTTACAGGAATTGGAAAAATAAAGAATGTATAGTCAGAATTGGCAGGTAATAAAATGATGGTACAAGAGGGGAGACTCAGGAAAAAAATGTATTAAGGCTACTGTCAAACTATGTGGTTTTTATCTATTTTTTTTCCCCATAATTACACTTCATACAATTCATATTGATAAAATTGTTTACATCAAGCTGATCTTTTTTTTACAGGTGTATCTGAAAAGAGAATTAAAAGGACTATAAATTCCCTGTAATAAAAGCTATAGATTTTTTAAATTTGTCAAAAAGATCTAACACACAACTAGAAAAAACTAGAGAGAGGAAATAAAGTTTTACCCAACTGTCATATTATATCATAGAATTCACCCTGGAGAAGTGTATTTCTGTGGCCCAAGTCTCCGCTCTGCAATTCTACAGGTCATTTTTTAAACTGACTATTGAGAGCAGATGTGATTCTTGTATCCTACTGAAAAACAACTAGGTTACAGGAGGTCAAATTCTAAATGTCTTTCAGTCTCCTTGATTACTTCCGTCATTCAGTTACCACAGCAGGAAAAATATCGCTATTACACAAACGGGGCTTGTTTCACATACAAAACATACAGCTATCCCCCCCCCCCCCCCCCCCCCCACTTATCTGTTTTTATTTTGGGGATTTACAATTTCCAGTTTTCTATTTTTCTAGTGGTATTGCAATATCACTTACGTCCAATCATTTTTACATTTCTGTAGCCCATTGAAATAGCTGGCAAGAAATGATATATAAAGGCCCCCGGGCGTAATTGTTATTATTCGGTTGAATACTTATTTTAATCTTTGCCATTTAAGTCTCCTGTGGACTCGCATTTACATGAATTTCCAGTATATTATTCTAGTAAAGGTTAATGTGCGTGGGAGGCTATATTAATGTCACATGCACAGTGATTTGAGCATGTCACTCAGATTTTCCCATATGACCATGTGCTCCCTGTAGGAATTAAAAAGATTTATTTATAAAGCAGTTATTATGATGTTCACCAAACATTCTCTGGTGGTGAATCAATTATTGTCATTTCAATATATGCACCTGGAAGATTCACCTGCACTGAAGTTTGCTAAATGTCAGATGCATTATTAATATATCTCAACATGTGTGTAAACCCTATATCTGGCGTTGTTTCCCACTTTATACTATTTTTTGTATTTTTGTGAATTTGTGTGGCAAAGTATTTTATCTGAAGATCCTGCCAGTAACAGCATTTCCTGTTACAGGATGATCATACTTACATTTGCATTCAAACTTTTGTACAAAAATTGTTTGTCAGAACAACTAATCAGCTGATTTCACTTGAAACTCCTAAACAATTTAATCTAGACCTGCTGTTTGAATGGAATCCAAGACCTATTAAACAGCTTTCTTTACAACATATACAACTTTTTCTTAAACAAAAACCTCATTCACAGATTTTTGTTACCTCGAGAAAAATGTTCCATTCTGCTCATTCAAATTTTCGACAGTCACATACAAAAGTTAATTTGACCCCACTAACCATTAGAGAATCAAATGAATATTCAAACAGAACTGTTATAATAAAATTCTAGTGGTCCCCATTGTGGTTCCACTATTCAGTCTTTCCTATGGAGGGTAGTTATTGCACGCAATTGTGGGCTCAGGTGGTCATTTTGAAGAAGACTAGTTATTGGTGACATGAAGAGCAATTCCTAGTACTGGAATAGTGATTTTTCATGGAAACTGCCTTGGTGTAACCTTCTAAGCCAACAGATGGATGGGATTCTCTGTATTATGAAGAAAAGGAATGATTACTAATGACTTGTGTATATGGCCATTTATTTCCTAGTTGTTAATCGCTTAAGGACCGCCCTATAGCAGATATACTGCTACAGGGTGCCACCTGTGCGCAGGATCATATCATCCATACATTATTCTGCATTTCCGGTTCGGGGGCGTGCGCGAGCGGTGTGCGTGCCCTACCCGCGCTGCCATTCGCAGCCACGGATGTCAATCATTGGGGTCCCGGCCAGTAATTACCCGCCAGTGCCTGGTGATTACTGAGCATCTCTGACAGGGAGGAAGATTGTTTTGTTTACAAACAATCTTTCTCCCTGTCAGCTTGAGCACACTGCTTGGGATGGCTGTGGACAGTAGAGCCATCCCGATCAGTGTGCTTACAGTGAAGAACACACCCCCTGCCCCCCTAGTAAAACACTCCCAGCACACAGTTAACCCTTTGATCACCCTTCACATTAACCCCTTCCTGCCCAGTGTCATTATTACAGTGTCAGTGCTTTTTTTTTTAGCACTGATCACTGTATTAGTGTCACTGGTTAGTTCCCCCCAGTGTCAGAATGTCGTCCCGCTAAAAGTCACTGGTCACCGCCAATACTAGTAGAAAAAAAAATCCCATCATCTATACCGCCATTTGTAAATGCTATAACTTTCATGTAAACCAATTAATTTACACATATTGGGATTTTTTTTTTTAGCAAAGACATGTAGCAGAAATAATTTTGGCCTAAATGTATGACAAATTTAGATTTTTTAAAATTTTTTTAGTGGACATGTTTAATAGCAAAAAGTCCAAAATGTTGTTTTTTTCTCAAAACTCAGAATTTTTTGCTTATAGCACAAAAAAGAAAAAACGCACAGTCAATCAAATACCACCAAAAGAAAGCTCAATTTGTGGGAAAAAAAGGACATACATTTCATTTGGGTGCAGTGTTGCATGACTGCGCAATTGTCAGTTAAAGTAACGCAGCTCCATAATGCGAAAAATGGCCTTGTCATGAAAGGGGTAAATCCTCAGGAGGAAAAGTGGTTAATAACTGGTAAAAACGGTTGCCATATTTGGTGGATGATGGAATGATTAAAGTCTTTTTGTGTAGATACCTTCTTTCAAGGAATGACTTACACTAGTTTCAAAAGAAACAGGAGACTCTGCATCGATCCGCCTTACCTTTATGACCATCCATCTATTATTGAGTAGACCCCTTTTGCCACCAAAACAACTCCTTTTTCCGCCAAAGCAGACCTAACACATCAAGGCATAGATGCCACTAGACCTCTGAAGGTATGCTATGGTATCTGGCACCAAGCCATCAGCAGCTAATCCTTTAAATCCTGTAAGTTGCAAGATGTGACCTCCATGAATTGGACTTGTTTTTTCAGCACATCTCACAGTTGATCAATTGGATTGATATCTAGAGAATTTGAAAGCCAAATCAACACCTCAAATTCATTGTTAGGCTCCTCAAACCATTCTGAACCATGTTTGCAGTATGGCAGGCAATATCATCTTTCAATGAAGGATGTACTTGGTCAGCAACAATGTTTAGGTAGGTGGTGTCAAATTAACATCCACATGACTGGCAGGATCCAAGGTTTCCCAAAAGAACATTGCTCAAAGCATCACACTGCGTCCGCTGACTTGTCTTCTTCCCATACTGCATCTCTTCTCCAGGTAAGCAACGCACACACTCCCGGCCATCCACATAAATATAAAAGAAAACATGATTCATCAGACCAGGCCACCTTCTTCCATTGTTCCATGATCCAGTTCTGATGCTCAAGTGTCTACAGTACACACTTTTGGCTTTGTACACGGGCCAGCATGGGCACCCATACACAACAAACTGCCATGCCTATTGTTTCTGCTTTCAACACATCAACTTCAGGGACAACATGTTTACTTGCTGCCTAAAATATACCACCTACTTTCACACACTATTCTAATTAGATAATCAATGTTTTTTGCTTAACCGATTAGTGTTCTTAAAGTTATGACTGATCGGTTTATACATTCATAATAAATTGTTCTCTACAGTGATCAGAACCCAAACATCCAGGGTATGATTCTAACCACATTGCCTCCATGCAATCCAAACAACAATACAGTAATTTAAATGGAAAAAATCAATAGGTTGCTAAGTGGTTTATAGACACAATCTAGCTTACAAGCAAATTAATTAACTACAGTAGAGACAGTGCAGGTATCAACAAAATGCCATACGATTTGTTGTTGGTGTACAATGATTTTACTTGTGCAGGTCACTAATGAAATACAGCCTCTTTTAAAGACAACAGATTCCAATGTGTTAGGGCAAAGGGTCCTTCTTCCTCCATTAACTTCAATTACTGGCTGCAGGTGAAAAGTGAAAGTCACATAAGTAACACTATTCAGAAGCTCAAACAGCCCAAACCGATTATGTCCAAGGAAACCTAACCTCTCTCATTTCGCATACAAGCCCCATTCACAAAGGCACACTGTCAAAATATAAAGGCAGAACACTTAACCAAAGAGACGAACCATTAAGTTGGCCCAGATTAAAATTGTTTAGCGTTTGGTTCCTAGAGGTATTTTAGTCATGCAGTAAAGAACAGAGGTAAGAACTTCTGGGTTGAAGAAATCCTTCTAAGTGTGTGTGCTGCTATGAAATTAAAGGCAATATGAGCCCCATATATCAACATTCCATTCCTAAGAACTGTCCTCTTATTTCATCACAGCCTCTAATAGGACTTAGACTTACAAATTCCATCCATGATTTTCCAGATCATTTATTAATCTGATTGGTATATAAAAATATTAAGATGTTTTAATATTAAGCACTACCAGTACATTGCAACCTTAAAGGATTCTGGGTACTGGCAGCAGCCTTGAGTTTTTCTCTACAGAGTGCGAATGAGAAGTCATCCTTGTTTGTCAAGGTTATACCAATGGAGCCACAGACATTGGCACAGTGGGAATCATTTTTTTTCTATTTAGCCTTTCTAAAGCTGGTACCTATCTGAATGAAATCTACAGCAGACATCGGATGATGGAGCCATTACTCCTGCTATTAAGGGCTTGTATAAATGGACTTCAGACTCAGACACAAGTCAAATAACATATGCTTTCAAGTGCATCTGAACTGCTTTGACTCTTGTTTGATTGCTTCGATTTCTCTTGATGTTGCTCAAGGAATTGTTTCAAGGATTCAAGTTGTTTCTGAGTTTCATAGAGCTGCTTTTGAATTGCATTGCTTTTTGGACTGCTTTTGTGCTCACATTAACTTCTATGGAGACGAAAACCAGGTGAAATATAAAGAAAATTTCTGCTGCAGACCCTGGGCACATGCATGGGACATAGATAGCACTGTTCCCCTCTCAGGCTTTATTATTATTTGATTCTACACATGGAACCGTCTCTACCAGGACAATGACGTGGCTCAAGGAAATAAATTGTACAAGGCATGTGTGAATGGTTTGTATATCTGTGCTGAGACCATTTCATCAATATTCTGACTATGCTCAGTCAAGCCAAGCTTAAGGTTATTTAACCAAAGTTATGGTTTACATTACGGGAGGTTCAACTGCTAAGTGGACTGAGAGAGCAGAAAAATGTTTGGACTGTGAAGCAGCAGTATGGAACATTCTTTAGCTGTAGAGGAATGCACTGTAGGTCTGCCACCTGATGACTCTTATGAAAGCATGAAACTGTCATATTTTTACTAGAACAGTGATAGGAACTAGTGGTTGCGTGCTTTCATAGCTGGACTGTAGCACTAAAATGATCTCCACAACATAGTCTTCTGTTAATACATGCTCTCCAACAATCAAGGACCAGTCCATTTAGGCACAGTCAAATTCCGAACCCTAATGAAGAGGGAGTCTGTTTGGCACCCAAAACTATTTCTATTTTTTTCTATTTGAACTCATTTTATAATTAAAAACTTTGGACTCTTGGATGTTTGTTTGGCACTCTATTTGGACTGTATATATTTGGATTCTCAACTCTGGGTTCCCTCCTCATATTCAAGGAATGTCCTTGTTTTGTGGAATACTGGCGAACTGGAGCTTGTATGCCCAGTGACAATTTGACTGACCATTGAAAACCTGTATCAAGCCTTGTTTTTTACTTGTGTTTATCTTTTTTATATTACCATCTGTGTATCAGCTGTGGAGATTGCTATTTGACCTTATGACCATTTTCTTCTGTACTAAGAATGAGGAAAAATCAGGCTACCAGAACAACAGACAGATGCAACATTGGGGGACAGGCCAGAATCAGTATCAGCTGAGTAGATGTGTTAAAAGGGGGCAGTCAGGTTCACTGTAAGAGGTGAAGATCAGCAACAGGGCAGGCTACAAGAAGACAGCAAACAAGATACAACATTTTTTTACGCTTGTGTAATTAGAATTATCGGTCAAAATCAGCAACGGGTGAAGAAGCAAGGGCAGGGAAAGTGGGAAGCAGGGAGGCAATCAGAATCACAGGTCCCAGGTAACTTGCCCCTATGAAGCTGGTTTGCTGCCAAAGCCAGAAATGGACTTACCTGCAAACCTGGGCACATGCACACACAAATAGGATGCACCTATGTGAACAGGCCAATGATGATCTTGTGTGGAGGGTCACCTGACACCTGGAAGTGCATGTGTTGATACACCATTTAACAGAGTGGCATGACCTTCCTGATAAGAACAGTCTTTATGATATGACTTTTTCGCTTTTCTCCATAGAGAAAGTAAGCATATGTGTTTGCATCAATATGGTTAAATTATCACCCCTAGGGAAACCCTATATAGGTCCTATCCTTGTCCAGTCATTGAAACAACTCTCAAAATAAATGCATTACATTACTTGTAAAGACTGGGCTACTTAAGAGCTGCAACAGAATAAAAGTATTTATACTCAGTAGCATGACCTCTTATGCTATTATTGAAGACCCCTTGAACCTTCTTCGGCGGAAAGGTAGCCTTGTCTACTGGAAGCATAGCATCACCATGGGCATGTACCTAAAGTTAAATGGCTCCCTTAGGATTGGCTACAAATACCTAAAGTGACTGGATGGACCCTGAACTCTAGGAAAACTCTAGGAAAAGGCTATGCTGGGGCATGTCCCACTGCTCTGAAGAGAATCAGCTGTCACAAGGGTTACCCACCCCCCTGCCCGTTGTGATGTTTTGTCAGAGCTTTATTGGCAGTTTTGAGGCCAGCCTCAATAGCCTTTCCAACCATTGATGTTGCTTTATGGGCTATGCCCTCAATTTAAATTATGGGGTCAGTCTAATGCCTATCTGGCACTGATGGTAAGGACAGGCCTCTTAGATGATATGAGG